CCCCCCTTCCCCACATACGCGGCTCCCGGGCCCAGTTCGCACCTCGTAGCTGAGCATGGCACGCTCAGTGCGCCTGGCCACCATGGCCATGACGTCCAGGGACTTGAAGGGGAAGGAGCCGTGCGCGGTCTCGCCCGACAGCATGACCGCGTCAGCACCTTCACGCACCGCAATGGCGATGTCGCTCACCTCCGCCCTGCGGGGTGTGGGTGTTTGCAGGATGAGTTGAGAGGACGGAAGAGGTGAGCCAGGAGCCTGGGGATCTCAGGGTTTGGGAGATCACATGGTAAGGGAAGGGGGCGCTGCCTGCCTCCAGTTTCTGCCCCTCGTTCCTCTATACCAGAGCAGCACTTCCACTGCTCGATGCACCCCCCTTCCGACCACCCCTCCCCCACCCCCACCCACCCACCCACCCACCCAAACCCACCGGGTGGGCGTGGGGCATTTGATCATGGACTCCAGCATGTTTGTGGCGACGATGACGGGCTTGCCGCGCTTGCGGCACCCCCTCACGATCTTGGACTGCCAGTAGGGCACCTCCTCCACCGGCAGCTCGGCGCCCAGGTCCCCGCGTGCCACCATGGCGCCATCCACCGCGTCCAGGATGGCGTCCAGGTTGGCCACGGAGTCGGCGGACTCGATCTTGGCCAGCACGCCGATGGCGGAGGTGCCAGTGGCCCCCGCCCGCGCCAGCCAGTCCTTGAGCTCGTAGATGACGTCGGCGGTGCGAACAAAGGACAGTGCATAGTAGTCCACGCCCTGCTCCAGCCCGAACCGGATGTCGGCCCAGTCGCGGTCGGTGATGGCGGGCAGGTTGGCCGACTTGCCGCGGATGTTCAGGTGGCGCCGCGACTTCATGCTCCCCCCGTCCACGATCTCGGTGACCACATCGGTGTCGGTCTTGGAGCGCACCACCGCGCTCATGATGCCGCCGTCCACCAGCAGGATGTCGCCCAGCTCCACGTCGTCGATGAAGCCGTCGTAGTTCACTGTTACGTTTAAGGGGGGGTGATGTTCCTGGGGTCGAGAAGCTTTGTGGTGGGGAGGGAGAGACCGGTCCCACACGCGATCAGGGCCCCTGGGGCGGGAGAGGGGATGGCGCCCCGGGGAGGAGGGGGGGTGCCCGCCCATTGGGCCCCCGCCGCTCCCCTCCTCCTCCCCATCCAGCCCCACCCACACCTCCGATGCGATTGTTGGTGCCGTCCGCGCCGGCGACGATGGTGAAGGTGACCGTCTCCCCGGCCCGCAGCTCCAGGGGCTGGGTGACGTCACCGGAGCGCACCTCGGGCCCCTTGGTGTCCAGCATGATGGCCAAGTTGCGCCGGCCCATCGCGTTGTACTCCCGCACCAGATCGATGACTTGCTGCGGTGAGCGAGCGGTGAGCGAGATCAGGGGCGAAGGGGGCGGGGGCGGGGGCGGGGGGGAGATAGGTATGCATGGGCGGGTCTGCCTTCCCCTCCCACACCTCTCCCCAACAAACCTGGTGGGAGGCGTGGTCGCCGTGGGACATGTTGAGGCGCACGACATTCATGCCGGAGTCGGCGAGGCGGAAGAACGCCTCCCGGTCGCAGGAGGTGGGGCCGATGGTGCACACCGTCTTGGTCTTCCGGGGGGGCGCGTTCAGGGAGTACTCCCCATCCTCGTCGTCCAGCTGCTGAGACGCCAAGGAGGGGGACAGGGAAATGCCCTTGGCATACCCGGCAACGGCGGAGGTGGCGGTGGTGGGTCGGGAAGGCTCGGGCCTGCGGATCGGGCGCAGGGAGAACCCTGGTGGGTGGCTGGCCTCGCCCTGATGCGTCGAGACCGATCGGCCCGCAAGCAGGCACCCGTCAGCCCCATCACAACCCTGTGAAGTCCAGGAAAGAAATTCATATCGACTCACCTCCCACCGCCGCGGTTTACGGGCGGAGTGGCAGTGCACAGCACACGGGCTGCGGTGTGCGCGGGCCTCCGGGTCCCTGCCTGATGGGGGCTGAACGCCCCAAAGGGCCTCACCGTAGACACTGAGCACTGCATCATGGGCATAATCGAAGTTTTATAGGGCACCTTGGGGTTGCTGGCATGCCCCAACACCATTCTGCCATGAGAGTCGATGGAGCCGGGGTAGAGAGGGTTGCCGACGTGGCACAAGCTGTGTTGACCTCCCCAAATCTGGAGGGACCATTCTTCTGCAATCCCGACTGTTATCCAGGAACAAGCCCATGAGAGTGCATTGATCCCTTCAACACAGTCGAAAGTGCATGGGGCGCCTCATCATACAGGACGCCTTGCCAAGCACGACGGATTTGAGGGACACCAGTCATTGCGCTCCATTGGTCTGGGCTCCCCAACAATTACACCTGGCTAACGCCCATGATGGAGGGTGAGATGTTATTGTCCTTGTCTAGCTGTTACACTTATCTTTGGGAGAATATTCGAACTTGCACAGGGGAAATCCAGGACTGCAAACTTGAATCTATGCACACTCCCAAGGCAGCTGATCGCAAGGTGAGGCCGCAGCTCACAAAGACATCCTGCGTCTGCATTGTTGCGTTCTTGTGCTTCAGCGCTGCCTTGTAGGAGCTTTGGAAAGACCAAGTCATTGTGATCAACAATATTGATGATGGAGGTTGCAGGGGACGCCATCAGGGATTGTGGAGAGCGAAGAAGGATAGGGCCAAGATTCAGCCACATTAGGGGCCGACGGTGGAGGAGTCAAAGACAAGGACAGCGTAGCTGGGGGATGATGGCGAGGATGGAAGCTTTAGGGGGTCCAATTTCAGGATGTGGGAGGGGACAGGATGGTTGGCGGCATAAAAGGTGGAGGCGGCCAGATGGTGGGTGATGTGGAGGGCGGAGGCGGCAGGATGGAGGGCGGGGGCGGCAGGATGGACGGCGGCATGGAGGGCGGGGGCGGCAGGATGGACCGTGGCGTAGAGGGGGAGGGTGATGTGGGAGGCGGCGATGGGAGTGGAGGACTGGGAGATTGCGGTGGAGGTGGTGATCTTATAAGAGGAGGAAATGGCGACATCTTTGTGGAGGGCGGCGAGGGAGCCTTCTTGGGGGGCGGCGGGGACGCCTTCTTGGGAGGTGAGGGCGGTGGTTGGTTGTAGTCCCTGAGCACCGACTTGCCAAGTTCCTTCAGGCTGCACATGTTCAAAACCTTTCGAGTTCCAATCGCGTTGTTGCACCGCAGATTGGTGCCCTTGTTGTTGTAACCCCAGTTGAGGTCTCCCATGTTGGAGTTCCCTGCATTATTGGCCGTTTGCATGGTATAATCAGTGGCAGGGGGAGAAGGGGGCCTGCAATCGTGCACTCTTATCATATCAAACCATGCGTCCAAGTGCCAATCCGCCATCCCTGCAATCCTGCTCACCGATGTTGTTGTTGCCGTCGTTGTAGTCGCCAAAATTGTTATTTCCCTTATTCCCGGTACCAATGTTGCCATTCTTGTCTGCTGTGCACGCCTTCTGTCCGGCCTTGAGGCACTCTACGCTCACCATGATCTTGGTGGAACGCTCGTTGATGACCTCAAAGGGGCTCATCTTGATGGCACCGACGGAAAGGCCGAGGACATGGAGAGTGGTCTCCCTGACCGAACCCGCCTTGGCGTAGCCCATCCACCTGTGGTGGTTGAGGGACAAAAGGTCAGTCAGATGGGCTGGTGATATGAGCCATGCCGTTGTCTAGGACTTGCATTCCAGAACTAGACCGAGTCGGACTCAGCACGCACCTGCAGAGGGTGTCTGCGCTGCTAACCTCCAGCATGTAGACGTGGGGCCCGTACCTATTAGAGGAAGAAGGAGTGCACGACGAGGTCGAGGGAGCAGCATCCGGCGTCCGGACACCCACCCGTGCCAGCTTTACGCAGCACAATCAATCCATCGTCAGTCAGGCTCCGGCCCCTGCGGAAGCACAGCTGCACGGACTGCTAACCAGTACTGCCAGGCACAACTCACGTGGCAGCCGGGAGAGGGAAGAACTTCGTCGTGCATGCGCCCTGAGCGTGAGGGGAATGACGTATGGGGCGTCGCAATCCAGATCTGGCATCCACTACAAGATGGCCTAACCTCTGAAAGTCTTGCACGCCCCAAAGTCCACCTCAACTTACCCGTGAGAGCACACCGAGGCTTAACAGGGGGAGCATCGTGCTCCAAAGGCATGTCCGCACTTGCGACACCATCTTGCCCGAAAAGGTGTGGGCCAAGATGGGATATCTTTCAGCACCAAAACGATGCAGTAATGTGGACTGCGCGGGAAGAAGCAGCATTCTGCTTGCTGAGGAGCAGTTTGTGCGTACTATATTGCATGCTCCCCCTAATTTTGTTCTGGTCGCAGCGGAGAGGGGAATGCTCGCGGCCACCCGGATGCCCTCCTTTCCTTCGCATATGCCATCGAGGGCTTTAGCATTGTGGTTGCAAGTACATAATTATTACGAACTGCTTACCTTCCATATCCTGTTTCTGCTTTAAATTGTTTGTATGTCTATAAACAGCCCCTACCGACGGCATTTCTGTCTCCCGCCTTTGCAAAGGTGACAAGTCCCCTTCTCAGTGGTTACTCGCTATCAAAAACGATTCGTATCGAAAAGCTAGCCATTGCTGAATTCGTGATCCCTGGCTCATGATGAAGGCGGAACCCGGAAGCTATGTTCTTGAATGCTGCGCTCAGGCTGCACTTGCCGGGGTGCCAGAGGGCCTGGTCCCAACAATTCAGAGAGTGCCAGATGACCTAAGTATACAGACACACATGGCTTTGATTTTTACGTGACTCGTCTTGAAACTAGCTGCTTTCGGGCTTGCGCTGGCCTTTGCATGCGGTGGTGCAGTGGCGGGAAAGTTCCGGGAGCGGAGCGCTCGCGGAACAAGCCAGCATGGGATTAACCAGGACGAGGAGGGATGCCAATATATAAAGAAAACTGTCACATAATTCGAGGTTGAGGAGATTGGGTGAAGCAATTGGATCTCGCCACCCTCATCCAGCCCCAGCACCAAACACCTGAGACACTGCGAGCCACATCCGAGCGGAAGTTGGGCATCGCTGATTTGCTGTGGAAAGGACTGATCTATATTCCAATATCTTTCATATTGAGAGCAGCCGGAAGCCCTGATCTGGTCCGGAAGCATCCGTGCGAGGCACATGGCCTGCGCCTTTGCCCTACCCTTGCCCAGTACCTCGGGGTACTTCAGGGCCCCCTCGGGGTCCCCTCCTCCCTCCCCCCAGCCGCACTCGATGTGCACGAGGTGGGCGGGGGGCTTCCTGGACACGTGCAGGCAACCAAGTGGCTGCGCCACTCGCCACGGCCAGCCAGGAGGGCACCATCTACCCAGACGCCACGGCGATCATCGGCCGCACCCCATTGGTGAGGCTCTGCATCGGGCATGCCAGTCGCTGTGCCCTGTCCTCGACGAGTGTCGGGGCCAGTGGGCAGCCTCCCCCCTCCACGCCTGCCACCGGACGCAGGTCCGCCTGCAGAAGCTGCCGGTCCCATGCTTTGCGGAGATTGTTTGCAAGCTGGAGTACCTGCAGCCCTGCAAAAGGTCGGTCAGTGGGCAGGCCCCTGGCTGCGGCCGTACCTGGACGCCATTCGCGCGCCGGTCGCCGTCCCCACGCGTGCCGCGCCGTGTGCATGCGGGTGCTCTCGGCTGGACAGGAGGGCCGCACCCCATCAACCCCCACCCCCTGCGATCCCTGTGCAGCGTGAAGGACCGCATCGCAGCCCAGATGGTGGCTCGCGCGGAGGAGCGGGGCCTCATCTCCCCCGACAGGACTGTGCTGGTGAGTGGCATCGCTGGTCCGCTGCGGCCAGGTGACCAACGTGCTGCCCCGCCCCGCGGTCCATACCCCAGAATCCCCCCACACACGCCACCTTCCCCCCATGACAGGTGGAGCCCACCTCGGGGAACACGGGGGTGGGCCTGGCCTGGGTGGCTGCAGCAAAGGGGTACCGCCTGATCCTGGCCCTGCCCGACTCCTCCAGCCTGGAGCGGAGGGTCCTGCTGCGCGCGCTGGGCGCTGAGCTGGCGCTCACCGATGGGAAGCTGGTGCGGGCGTGGGCGTGGGTGCCGTGGCTCGTGAGGACCCTCCCTGCACAGACCGGGGGACCAGTGCGCTGTCAGACAGCGGTGCCCAGCCCCCGCCGCCCACTGGATCGCCGCAGGGCATGGTGGCAGCCATCGAGAAGGCAGAGTCCATCGTGGCGACCACCCCCGGCGCGTACATGCTGCAGCAGTTTGACAACCCCGCCAACCCAGAGGTGTGCCGCGGGGGTGGGTTGTTCCGAGGCCTGCCTGCGCATGAGCGTCCCCATGGCTGCAGGCATGACGGTGAGGGCGATCGTCCTGATGCACAGCGTGTGCGGCAGCGCTCCATTCCCGCCCTGCCGGCCAGGTGGCCCGGGGTAGTCCTCCCCAATCCCCGCCGCCACGCTCCCCAACCCTTTCCAGGCCCACTATGAGGGCACGGGGCCGGAGGTCTGGCGGGACACCGCTGGGAAGGTGGACATTCTGGTGGCAGGGGTCGGAACCGGCGGCACCATCACTGGTGAGCGCCGGGGAGGGGAGGGGGAGTGCTGCAACTGCACGCAGACCTGCAGCCCTACAAACAAATGCCATGCCTGTGTCGCAGCCCCCGCCCTGGTCTACATTATTTGACCCTCCCCTCCCCGTGCCAGGCCTGGGTCGGTACCTGAAAGAGCGGAACCCCTCGCTGGAGATCATCGCGGTGGAGCCCGCAGAGTCGCCGGTGCTCTCGGGCGGGAGGCCAGGCTACCACCAGGTGCGGGCCAACCGCAAAAGGGGGGCGGAGGGGGTGGCTGGTGCTCATGGTTGCATCCCCCCCCCCTGGTGCCCTGTGCGCATGCGTCGGCATGCGGCACCCCAAGCTGACGGGGCAACTGCCGCTGGCCTCGGCTGCCCGGCGAGCGTGGACCCCCCCCCCCTCTCCATGCTCTTCCCATGACCCCTTTCCCTCTGCGCCGCGCGTCCGAGCAGATTGAGGGGCTGGGCGCGGGTTTCATCCCGCGAGTCCTGGACTTCAGCCTGCTGGACGAGGTACTGCGCGTGCGCACGCAGGAGGCCGTGGCGGTTGCGCGGAAGCTGGCCCAGGAGGAGGGCATCCTGTGCGGCATCTCCTCGGGCGCAGCCGTGCACGCCGCGTACAAGTGAGGCCGGGGGTTGGGGTGGGGGCCGGCCCATGCACTCACCACCGCAGGCGGGCGCTGGGGCAGGGGCCAGGAATGCAGCGCCCAAAATCCCCACCCTCCTGGACTTGGATCTATGGCCCATCGGGGTGGCAGCCCGCCATACTCCCCCTCCCCCTTTACACCCCCCATTCCACTCCCTCCCCATTCCACTCCCTCCCCATTCCACCCCCATCCAGGGTGGCGCAGCGTCCGGAGAATGCGGGCAAGCGCATAGTGGTGGTGCTGCCCTCCTTTGGCGAGCGCTACCTGTCCTCCGTCCTGTACAGCCAGCTGTGGACCCAGGACGCGACGGAGGAGGACGAGATGCCGGCCGAGTGGCGCATGCACAACGGGCTGTACGTGGCCGATCGCGACCCGCCCAAGCTGTGAGGGGCGGGCGCCAGTGAGGGCATGCGCCGCGTCTGCGAGGGCGGGGGTGGGGCCAGGGAGGGTCCGCTGCGTCACAGACCACCTTCGTTGCCGTACCGCATCGTGTACATGCACCCATCCGGTGGTCCGCCGCCGCCAGAGGCATCAGGCAGGGGGGCCGGGTGAGGGTGCTGCGGGGGAAAGCGGCGAACTGGCCCCCCCCCCCCCTCCATGCTCTTCCCATGACCCCTTTCCCTCTGCGCCGCGCGTCCGAGCAGATTGAGGGGCTGGGCGCGGGTTTCATCCCGCGAGTCCTGGACTTCAGCCTGCTGGACGAGGTACTGCGCGTGCGCACGCAGGAGGCCGTGGCGGTTGCGCGGAAGCTGGCCCAGGAGGAGGGCATCCTGTGCGGCATCTCCTCGGGCGCAGCCGTGCACGCCGCGTACAAGTGAGGCCGGGGGTTGGGGTGGGGGCCGGCCCATGCACTCACCACCGCAGGCGGGCGCTGGGGCAGGGGCCAGGAATGCAGCGCCCAAAATCCCCACCCTCCTGGACTTGGATCTATGGCCCATCGGGGTGGCAGCCCGCCATACTCCCCCTCCCCCTTTACACCCCCCATTCCACTCCCTCCCCATTCCACTCCCTCCCCATTCCACCCCCATCCAGGGTGGCGCAGCGTCCGGAGAATGCGGGCAAGCGCATAGTGGTGGTGCTGCCCTCCTTTGGCGAGCGCTACCTGTCCTCCGTCCTGTACAGCCAGCTGTGGACCCAGGACGCGACGGAGGAGGACGAGATGCCGGCCGAGTGGCGCATGCACAACGGGCTGTACGTGGCCGATCGCGACCCGCCCAAGCTGTGAGGGGCGGGCGCCAGTGAGGGCATGCGCCGCGTCTGCGAGGGCGGGGGTGGGGCCAGGGAGGGTCCGCTGCGTCACAGACCACCTTCGTTGCCGTACCGCATCGTGTACATGCACCCATCCGGTGGTCCGCCGCCGCCAGAGGCATCAGGCAGGGGGGCCGGGTGAGGGTGCTGCGGGGGAAAGCGGCGATCACGCGGGTGTGTTTTGGAGCCCGGGGGGGTTGCAGCGACCCTCAGGCGTTCCAGGCAGGGCATTCCAGGCAGGGCCCCCCAGGCAGGGGGGCCGTGCCCTGGTGGAGGCGGCCAGGACTCCAGTGCGCGAGCGCTGCCCCGCCCCAGCGCCGCCCCACCTGGCGCGCCCGCTCAGTCCTTGTGCGGCGCCGGGAGCGGCTGGGGCGGGATGGCGCTGCCGTCGCCCAGGGCGGCGGCGTCCGCCAGCGCGGCGCCGGGCTTCAGGATGGCGCGCAGGGCCTCGGCCTCGGCGTAGGCGAAGGAGACGGGGGTGAACTCGGAGGCGTGCTGGTCCACGGCAGGGGCCATCGAGTTGGCCAGCGGCACTATGCCCGCTGCCTCGTCCCGGCTCAGCTTGCGCACGAAACGCGCGGGGTTGCCCGCCCAGAGCTCGCCGGCAGGGACGCGGCGGCCGGGGGGCAGCACGCTGCCGGGGGCCAGCACGCTCTGCCGTTCCACCAGGCTGCCCTCCAGCAGCACGCAGCGGTCGCCCACAACCACCTGGTCCTCCAGCGTCACACTGCGCAGCAGGCAGCCCTGGCCCACCGTCACGTAGTGCCCGATGGTTGTCGCGGCGGGGAGGCCGGTGGGGGAGGAGCTGTTGGGAATTGTTGTTTTTTAGGGGGGAGGGGAGGGCGAGGGGGAGGGATTAAGAAAGGGAGGGGAGGGCCGCTCACCCAAAATGATGGACCAGTCAGGCGGCAATGGGCAAGCATGGGAACGCGCAGCGAAGTGAGGTGTCCCGGAGGCTACAGTGCGCCTACGCTAGGCTGCGACTGCATGTGCGGAAACAAAACTCCGACCCTCTAAGCCCAACTCCACGGCACCTGGCGGCATGGATGACGGTGCGGTCCTGGACGTTGGAGAACGCGCCGACCTTGATGGTGTTCAGGTCGCCGCGCAGGACGGCGCCATACCAGATGGAAGCCTGGCGGGTGGGTGAGTGTGGAAAAGGGGGCGTCAGGGGCATTATGGGAGAGTGGCCATTGGTCACCAACATCCCCCACCTACAACACTCCCCAACCAAGCATCCCACCTGGTCGTATAGATCCACGTCGCCGATGACCACCGCGCTGGGGGCCACCCAGGCGTCCGGTGCCAGGGAAGGGACTCGGTTGCCCAGGGGGATGAGCTGACGCTGCCTGCGGGGTGAAACCCGGGGCGACTACCTTGAGAGGGTCCGGCACTCACGTCCCGTGCCACTCCGGCACCACCCGCCCCAGACCCCTCACCTATTGTAAACCTCCTCCTCGATGTGGATGGATGTGTGTGAGCTGGATGAGGTGGTGAAGACCCTCTGTGCTGCTGCCCCGGGGAACTCGGCCCGCTGCACGGCAAGGCACCGTCCCCAGAGCTGGGCACTGGCCCGGCGCAATGCCATCTCGCCGCAGCTGCCTGGGGCGCCTACAATACAGGTAGAAATATAATTTGCGGGGATATGCACTCGACTTGACTAGGGGTGCTGGAGCCTCGTCAGGTCTACTCTGCCCCAGGCCTCGCCCACCCTTTCTTGGACTGCGCAGGGGTACAGCAGAAGTTTGGCCAAGCAAGAACACTCTCAACATGCATCATGACAGACACTTTGAGGATGACAGTTACTTTACCTCGATCATCTACCAGAAACAGAAATATGCCTTGGTTTCTCAATCTGCGCGCAGTCTGGTAATGCTACTTATGGTGGTCATGGCCCATACATGACACTCATCATTCATGAGCGTGCCCCTGAGGTGGAGACCCGTCACTGCACACTCTCTACGAAAACAGTACCCTGTTCTAGACTTTCACGTAAGGCTGCGGTTCACACAGTGCCCAAGCTGCATACTAGGAGCAGTGAACTGACAACCTTCGCTATGCCATCCTCCATTTTGAGTACATATCAAACATCATGAAGGAGAATACGGTTATTGACTGCTGTATCTAGTTATTGTAAGCTATGAATAACCGGTATCCTGTGTGCTGCTTGCAAATCATACAAGGACACCTTAAGCCATGTCCTTTCTTCACGCAGCCTCCTTCTAAGGGACAGCGCATACCTTGAATGCGACCCGTGCGACTGGAGATCAGCGACACCCACACTCCATCAGGTGCTGCATCCAGCGATGAAACTTCATCACGATAAAACAATCCCTTCTCCAATCCAGCAAAGAGCGGGAGTACTTTACACCGACTCGTGCTCGATCACTTGGGCTGGTGTGGCATTCGTTCGGAAGCCGGTCTCGACAAAGTCGGGCGGACATTGGTTCACTGCATTGAAATGGCTGTGACCACGCGCGGACTGGGGGTAGGACCCTCGGATCTGGTGAGCTGTCGAGGGTGCCAGTGCGGTGCAAGCCTATGGTGTTGCCCCTATCGGCAACGCTGAAGAACCGAGAGACACTCGTTTCCACACCATGTACGATCCCCAGGATGCTCCTCGGCTTGTATTCGTAACTCTGAAGGATGCGCCCCATCGCCGAAGGGTAGCCATCCCCCTGCCCGAAAACGCCGCTTGGGACAAGTTCACCGCCTCCGTGGCAGCCAAGCTCAAGCTGGGGGCAGTGGACGGCGTGTTCCTGGCCAGCACCGGGGAGGTCATCACGCGACTGGATCAGTTGCAGGACATCGACGACCTTGCTGTGACGGAGGTGTGTGGGACTGGCCCAGGACTATGGCGGTGCCATGGTCCATCGCTCCTCACAGGGCATGGCTGTCTCTTCCTGCACCCAGTCCACTGGCCATAGTAGCTCGCTCCAATTTCAATCTCCAACCCTGTGCTCGACGCAACAGGCTCCCGCTCAGCTGGCAACGTCCACCTCCGGGGTGGCGCCCGCTGCAGTCCAGCGAACCTCATCGACGCCCTTCCGTGGTCTCGGGGGAGGGTCTGAGCCTGCAGTGAGCCCCCTGCAGGTGGAACCTGCCGTCCATGACGAGGACGGCGACAGCAAATATCAGAAGCGCCATTCGGCGCTGCAGCGCACGCTGCAGCCGCTCTTCCCGGGCCTCTTTTCGTCCAGTAATGGCCGATTGCCAGTGACCACCAAGTAGGATGGAGTGGGGGGTGAACTGGCAGACCAAGGGTTGAGCACTAGAATCAAGGCACCGGAGCCCATGCGGCCAAGCTGTCGCACTGCATTTCATGAGGCGGCGAGGCCTTGATATGGGGCTGGCCCGGGGCGTCCACTCTCAGCATGCCCCGGCGAGGAATATGAGCGCAAGAATGGCGACCCCATGTTGCTCTGTACAGCTGACGGGAACGCCAGTCCTGTATCCTGACCATAACCACCATGTTGCTTGCACCGCGCAGGGACATCTCGTCCAATGGGGCGGTGACCTCCCCCGGCCCCTCTGTGGACCTGGCCCGCAAGCGGCCCCGGCGCCGATCTCGCCGGTGGGTCGACCCTCGCAGCGCGCTGATGGCATTCGCCCTGCTCTGCTGCCTGGGGACCATGGTCTTCGTGTACCTGCACACCGTCGGGCTGCGAGGGTCCCTCCCCTGACGGCATCCCAGGCCTGGCTGAACTCCCGCTCGTGAAGGGCTTGCATGCTAATAACCACTGCCAGCAGGATAGCCTGGACAAGCAAGCTGGAGGAGAGAAGTGGGTTCCTGTGCATTCCAATCCTGGATGGGAGGCTGGGTGTTGCCACATGTTGGCCTTGCATCTTCCTGCCAAGCAGCAGCAGGTGGACTCAAAACCTGGGGGCAGAGGGACAGGGGGCAGGCAGCGAGAGGAGCACTCGGAGGTACAAGAAGGGAGGACTGCCTGCATCGGGCCGCAGCGTAACGCAGCGACTGGAGGTCAAGTGTTCGTCGACTGGGCGCCGAGGGATTGGCAGGCGCGTGCCCCGTTTCACGCCTTGGCCGGCTCGGGAGCAGACCCCTCGCCGGCCTGCGCCCGGCACCCTCCCGCACGGAGCGCTGGGCGGCCCAGCGCACCCGCGCCCCGCTCACTTCTGGATGGCCTGCACCAGGCTGGCGGCCAGCTCGGCCATGGCGTCCAGGCCCTCTGCGGGGCTGGCGGCCTCGCCCAGCGCCCGCACAAGGGCCGAGCCGACGATGACGCCCTCCGCGCCCCAGCCCGCCAGCTGGCGCGCCTGGTCGGGGCGGGAGACGCCGAAGCCGACCGCGACGGGCTTGTCGGTCTGGCGCTGCAGCTCGGCGATGAGGCCCTCCACGCGCGCCTCCATGGCCTCCTTGACTCCCGTGACCCCGGTGATGGACACGAGGTAGACGAAGCCGGAGGAGCGACGGGCGATGGCCTGCATGCGCTCGGGGGGGGTCGTGGGCGTGGTCAGCAGGACAAGCTCCAGGCCGTGCGCCGCCGCCACGTCGGCCACGGCCGACGCCTCCTCCAGGGGGATGTCGGGGACCAGGAGGCCTTGGATGAGGGAGACAGAGAGGGGCGACTGAGAGGGTGGGCAAAGACTGGAATGGGCCGAGCACATGCCCATACTGCTCGAGGGGCACGGCGGAGAGACATGGCACGGTGCGGAGCGGGGGGTCTGCCGAGGCCATGCGGATGCATGCCCACACTCCCTACAGACCCGTCTCACCCTTGGCCCCCGCGGCAATTGCCTGCGCGCAGAACTTCTCCAGGCCCCGGGTGAGGATGGGGTTGAAGTAGACGAAGAGCAGGATGGGGGCCTTGATGGTGGGCGCCACCTCGGCCACCAGGCCCAGCACGTCGTCCAGGGTGGTGCCGTGGGCCAGGCCACGCGTGGCAGCGGCCTGGATGACGGGTCCGTCCGCCACAGGGTCGCAATAGGGCACCCCCAGCTCGATGACAGAGGCGCCCAGGGCATCCAGCCGGCGGATGGCCTCCACCGTGGTGTCCCGGTCCGGGTCGCAGGCCACCAGGAAGGGGATGAATGCCACTCTGTGGGGTGCAGATTGTGCATGAGGCTGGCAATTCCAATGCCCATGCCTCGCCATGCTCCCGGCACCCGCCCACGGCCCTGCTCACCGGCCCTCCCGTTTCAGGGCCTGCATGGTGTCGGTGATGCTGGCACCACGCGCCTGAGCGCCCTCCAGGGCAGCTGACTCGGCTGAAGCTACCATGACGGGGCGAAGGGCAGCGCACCGGGGTCTGGACTGGAAGGCTGCGAACCTGGGTGCTGGGCGCAGGACGGCGAGGTGACCACCTTTCCGGGTGAGTACTGTGGCCTGGCCTGGGGCCGCTGCCAGGCGGAGGGAGGAGGCCATTCCCAAAATCACAAGCGGCCTGGGTTTGGAGACTGGGCAGGGACCCGGCCATGTGCATGGCAATGCCTCGGCATCCATGCTGCCATGTTGTCGCGAGCTGTGCCTGGCTTTCCAGCCTCCCCCCAAAAGTCTCTGCCCAGCGGGCCTGCTCAAGAGGGGCAAATCGCCCAGGGATCAGCATGCCGGTAATGCCGAAGCTGCACAGGGCTACGAGAGGTTTGGAGGGGGTGCTACCTGCGTAGTCTCGACGTGACGTGAAGTGCCGTCGCCGTGGGCATCTTCGCTTGGACAGGCCCGTGAGGTCCGATACATGGCCTTACACGCACCCCACCCAGTGCTTCAGTGAGAAAGATCAAGTGAGACCCTGGATCAGGCCTGGCTGGAACCTTGTGCATGGTGTTCCTGCTGTCCATCACTTGTGCTCGGGCACTCAAAGTTGCGCCTCCCACCTCCCGCAGTGGGACGCCGGCGCAAGGCCAAGGAGCATCACGGGGATGCATCGGACGGCGGCACCGTCGACAAGGGGGCGCTGGCTGACTGCCTGTCGCAGACATCCAAAATCGCAGCCGAGTGCAACACCATTCTGCGAGACCTCCTTAAGGGTCGCTCGCCCCACCACCACGACCTCCAGCGTCTCGCGAGCCAGGTGCGGATCAGGCCTGGATTGGAGGCCCAGTCCTGTTCCTTGGACCTGGCAGCTTCTGCTCCCAAAGTCACGTGCGCTGGATGTAATCTCTCCCCCAGCGTCGGGTCCCCCCCCCTCCCTCTGAGTCTCGTTTCCCAACGCGCCCCCCCTTTCCGCAGCAAGCCACGCTGTCGGAGCTGCTGCGCATGCTGCGTCTGGACAGCACGACGGCGGATGGCGCCCCCCTGGCCTCGCCCATGGACCTGCTGGGCCCCCTCTACCGCTCCCAGCACAGCCCCCTGTCGGTGCTGAAGCAGTGGGACCTGCCGCCGCCCAAGCCCAAGGCGCGGGGGGGCAAGGGCTCTGCGGCCGCGGGGGCCAGGGGCGGCGGCGACCGCGCTGCCCTCACCCGCCACGAGCGCTGCCTGAGCGTGGAGCACTACTGGAACTCGCTGACCCCGGCCACGCGCCGAGAGCTGCTGCGGGTGCCCATCGACAAGATGGTGGAGGGTGCGCTGCTGGCGGGGGAAGGGCCGGGGGGGTTCCCTCTGGGCGTGGGCAGGGTGGTCGGGAGGGAGATGGTTGATTGGGCTGATCGCCTGCCCCGACTAAACAGGGGAGTGCCGCCCCTGCTCCCGCCGCAGCTGCATCCTCCCCTCCCTCACAACGCTCCCCGTCTCCCCCCTTTCATCCACAGTGGCTTCGGAGACGGGGGGCGAGGGCGCCGTGAAGGAGCTGTGGGAGGCGCTGGCCCTGCTGCGCCTCTCCGGCGGCCGCACGGCGGCCTACTGGCGCTGCCCGATGTGCGACGTGCGGGTGGTGGAGCCCTCGGCCTTCCTGCAGCACCTCCAACTCTACCACGAGGACGTGCAGTATGCTGACGACGACGTGCCCTTGGTGTGCACCAAGTGCAGCCGAGAGGTGGGGCAATGAGCGGGGGGGAGGGGCCCCAGCGGAGAACCTGCCGGCAGGGGTGAGGCAGACTTGCATGTGGCCCATGGGGCCTGGGGCGCGGAGCCTGTAGCATGCCTCCTGCCAGCGCCGAGGCAGTCGGGTCATGCCTTCCACTCGCACGCAGGTCGTGGGCGCCTACTACCAGAACGAGGAGGATGGCTACCCGCCCGTCGTGCTGTGCATGACGTGCTGCTGGGACGAGCAGGTCCTCCAGGGTGAGGCTCGGGCTGCGGGGGCGTCGAGGCGCATGGCGTGGGCGGGTGGAGCGCCCGCCGGCGCAGGGTGTCTTGGGGAGCAAGTCTCTGCCGACCCACAGCGCATGAGAGGCTGGCTTGGGGGATTGCTCCTCGTCGCGTGACTGCCGACCCCCCCTCCCTCTCCCCAAAAACAGGGACGAGTGAGGAGCTGAGCGGGGCAATGCAGCTGCGGCTGCCCACCGCCTCGCACATCCTCAGCCCTGGCAGCAGCGCCTGGTCCTCCGAGACCGGGGACGAGGATGGGAGCGAGGACGGCGAGGGCCTGGGGCTCGGGGGCGACTGGGGCCCCGCAAGCGACGGCGGCGCCGACGAGGACGGCAGCGGGGATGAGGATGGCGGCACCCCGCCGCAGGAGGAGGCAGTGCGCCGGAGCGGCGCGCCCTGCCCCGCCGCAGACGACGCCGCTGCCGGGGTGGCCGTGCAGCCCCCGCGCCGGCCCAAGCGGACCGTCAGCGAGCACGCCGCGCCGCCCAGGACCTGCCTCTGCTGCGTTGCGCAGGTGAGCGCGGGCGAGCGCAGGCATTGCCAGTGCCAGGGAGGCACAGGGGCCGGGTGGATGCAATGGATGGACCCAGAGGGTTTGTTCTGTGTGGAGAGGGCGTCTCGGACGCTGGACGGCGGTGTCGAAGGGAGGGAGAGGGGGAGGCGGACGATGCGAGGCGGCTGGAGATCGAGACGCCCACATCGCAGCATGGCCCCACCCTTTGTCCTTGTCACCGGGGCTCAGCATGTGCCGGCAGCAGTGCCGCGCTGGCCTGACCAACCACCACACAGCCCCGCCTGCCACACAGACATCATGAACCCCCCTCCCTACCCTGTGCCAGGAGAAGCCCGACTCCCAGCTGCTGGTGGACGCCATCCTGGAGCAGCTGGCCGCGCTCTCCTCCACGCGCCGCGACCAGCTGGAGCGCGTGCTGGCGCTGCTGATGACGCATGCGCACCGCGTGTACAGCCGCGGGTACGGGGGCCCTGACCCCGGCGAGGCCGGGCGGGGGGCCGGCGGCGCTGGCGCGGCCGCCGACGCGGCCGCCGCGCTTTCCACGCTGCGCGCGCCGGGCGCGCTGGCCTCGCCGCGTCGTTGGCGGCGCGCAGTGCAGGGCGCGCTGGATGCGCTGCCCTGCGAGGGCCTGCACTCGCTGCTGGCGCTGGTGCTGGCGCGGCACGGCGACGCGCTGGCCGAGCTGCGCCGCTCGCCGCTGCCAGAGGTCTCGCGCGTGGTGGAC